CAACTTTTCAATCTCTTTCTTGTTGAACTCTCCTTGTTTCTGAGACATCTGTAGTACTCTAGTGATTTTTTCAATTAACATTTCCTCAAATTGGGTGATAGTGATATCTTTCTTTGAAAGGGTTCGACAATGAAGGCCTAAACAAGATTCGACAATGAAGGCCTAAAAAGGTCGACAATGAAGGCCTAAAAAAGTCAGCAATGAAGGCTAAAAATTTTTCTTCCCAAGAAGAGCCTAAAGCTCTGATACCATGTGAAAACTGAATGTATATTGAAAAACTGCTTATCTATTATTATACAAGAATCTTAGATTTATATACAACTAACTATGGTTTAAACTAGGAAACTAAATCTTTCTTAATTCTAGGGATACAAATACTTAATTCTAGAGATAAAAATATAAATATACAGATTACAAGATTATAATCAGCTGTAAATAAGTGTTTTCCCACAGGATCCTTCATAATAGCATCCTTCAATCCCTCGAAGGCCTCTTGGCACTCACTCGTCCAACACCATTTACGCTCTTTCTTCAATAGCTCCGTGAGGGCCGTGGTTTTACGAGAGTACCCTTCCACAAACCTTCTATAGTAGTTGGCTAGTCTCAAAAATGAGCGGAGTTCACTAACGTTCTTCGGTGTTGTCCACTCCTTGATGGCCCTAACCTTTTTCATGTCCATTCGAATATGGCCACGTTCGACAATGTGATCGAGAAAATGGATTTGGGTCTGAGCAAATGCACATTTCTCCCTTTTTACGTATAACTGGTGGTCATGTAATCTTTGAAGTACCTGACATAGGTGCTCTTGATGTTCTTCCAAGGTGGAGCCATATACCATTATATCGTCTAAATAGATGACTACAAATTTATCTAGGTAGTCATGGAATACCTGATTCATCAATGTACAGAATGTGGCAGGAGCATTGGTCAGTCCAAAAGGCATAACAAGAAATTCAAATGCACCATACTGTGTTACACAAGTGGTCTTTGGCTCATTTCCCTCAACGATTTTGACCTGATGGTAGCCAGATCTCAGGTTCAATTTGGAGAAGTACTTGGCCCGGCTCAATTGATCAAACAAGTCTGCTATAAGGGGAATGAGATATTTGTTTCTTACGGTGACTTTGTTCAGGGTTCTGTAGTCAACATATAATCGCAAACTTCCACCGTGCTTATTCTGAAATAGCACTAGCGCTCCGAAAAGAGCCTTTGATGGTTTGATAAACCCGACTTGTAGCAGCTCATCTAACTGCTTTCTTAGTTCTGCTAACTCTGGCGGGGCCATGCGGTAGGGCGCTCTAGCAGGGGGTTTCGCTCCTGAGAGGAGCTCAATTTCATGGTCCACTGCTCGTCGAGGGGGTAAAACTTTAGGTAACATCTTTGGCATCACCTCTTCGAATTCTTCTAACATTTTTTTCACACCATCAGATATTGGTTCTATTTTTGACCCTTCTTTGTAAATCGACACCGTCACAAAAGAGGGTTCCCCTCTCTTTACCCCTTTCTTGAGCTACAAAGCTGAAATCATTTTCTTCTCACTCTTTGGTAAGATGTTGGCTGGCACCACACCTAGGTGTTCTCCTAAGAACAACAAACAGCTAGCAGCGGGGATAGGGATGACCCGAGCCAACATCATGAAGTCTAATCCCAGGACAACATCAAAGTCATCCATGGAGGAAACTGTAAAGTCTACCTTCCCTTTCCATGGCCCCAATCGGGTTGTCACACTTTTGGAGCTTCCACTGATCGTAAAGGCTGGCTAATTGACCGCCTTCATTCGTCTACAGTTTTTACTAATCTAAAGACCACACCTTTTTGCTTCTTCTGGTGTGATGAAAGTATCAGTTGCACCCATATCCACCATGGCCTTGGTGGCTTTCTCATTGATCGTCAAGTTCACATACATCAAGCCTCTACTCTGCTCTTTCTATATAGTGTTTAATTGGGTGCGGAGGGCATTGAAGAACCTTATTGAACCCATCATGGCTGGCTCCTCTTCAGCTTCTTCAACGCTCTCTGGCATTTTTGCGGACTCTTGGGATGAGGTCCTTAAGGCATTAAGGGCTCCCCTGTGTGGGCATTCCGCCACCCGATGTGGCCTCTTGCAAAAAAAGCAAGCTAGTGGTTGCCTAGGCTTGAAAATCCCTGCGTTGCTTGTCTTGGGTTGGGTGCTATCTTGACCAAAGGACCTCCTGTCTGATCCCCTACTGAAGGGTCGATCCAACCTAGTCATCTTTCCCCCACTCTCACAGTTAAAGCTACTACCAGCTGATGGAGGGTTTTTCTGTTTTAAGAAGCCATCATTGTAATCGTGAAGATGTTTAGCTGTAGCCATGGCCGTGGCCACATCTTGCACTTTCTGCCTTTGTAGTTCTGTCCTCGCCCAAGGCTTGAGGCCCTCAAGAAAATAGAACATCTTGTCATTTTCGGACATGTCCCGAATATCCAACATCAGGGTAGAAAAGCTCCTTACAAACTCTCGCACCATTCTGGTTTGCACCAACTCTCGAAGTCTCATTCGAGCCATATACTCCACATTCTCAGGGAAAATTTGGTTTTTCAATTCTTGCTTCAGATCTGTCCAAGTCTTAATCGGGCACTCGTCATCGACAAACTTGGAGCGCCACCACAGCTTGGCATCCCCTGCGAGGTACATCGACGCCATTGTCACCTTGTCTTCCTTTGAATTTATGTGTACAGCTCGGAAGTATTGCTCCATGTCAAACAAGAAATTTTCAAGTTCCTTAGCATCCCTTGCTCCCTCATAGCATCGATGCTCCGACACCTTGGGCCTTTTTTCCCTTTCCATCGAGCTCGAACCCGATCTGGCCACAGCCATTTGTAGGATGCTCACCTGTGCTCTGAGCTCCTCAAACTCTTTTTGGAGAATGTTCAAGGCATCTCTAGCCTCTTCGCTCACATTGTGGAGAGTATCGGACAACTCTCGATGGGTTGTCTCGATCTCCCTCACTTAGTCTTTCATCGCCATATGAGTTTTCATTGCGGCCACCGCGGCCTCAAGTTCCTCAATTCTTTGTTGATGATCCGGTCCACCACTTGTGGCCATCTCATCCATTTTTCTAGCACTTCTCAACCGTGCTCTGATACCACGTGTCACGGACTAAGCTTTCTCTCAACAAGCAATAGACCGTGCGGCACTTGAATGGGCGCTCCCAACCAAGTCAGCCTTCAATAGATCAATATCTGAACAAATAATCATAAGCCATGGTTAGTCACAAGCATTCACAATAAGGCACAACATATCGAGATCAATCTCAAGCACACACACAAGAAGGCATATTCGCATCGAGAAAAAGAAAAACGCATCGAGGCAACAATCAGGACATTCAATCGGGATGAGTTTTATTATAAACGGGAATCATACATCGGGACCTCCCACTGTCACCAGGGCCAGGGGGCAGCCCTTGGTGGGTGGCCTAAGCTCGCATAGCAACCGGTAAGACAGCCCAACACTACGCTGCCGGCTCACCCCCCTAAAGAGCCTTAGAGATTTTAGAGCTATGTTACCAGTAACCATTACAATGTTTGAAATGAAGACACTTTTCCTAGCACAAAGAATCTACCCGACCATGACCCTATACATGGGTGACTCATGGCAACCTAAATCTCAATCATGGCCCTATACAAGATTGGCTCATGACACTATACCTGTGAAGGGTCCTAAAGAAGAATATTTTGATGACTTTATCAAATGATCTATCCTGTTACCTGACTTTGATTTGTTCTTTTGGCCAATAACTTTGATTTGTTGATTCATTACGTTCACTGCAATGCTATTTGTTACATAATTATAGAGTAAAAAAAAATGAAATTCAATACATTGATTGTCCATTGTCCATCCATCCATGAAAAGAATATTTAACACATGCGTTTACACAGCCCACGCTCTTTTAGTTATCCTGTCCCATTTAAAGGAGTTGTGACAGTAACGAATCTTATCCTTGTTCCTTTGTTAATAATTAAAGGCTAGGGCCTGAAATTAGGGCCACAAAAGGTTTTGATTTTAATCTTCATGGATGCAGGAGTACTCAAATTGCAGGGGTTTTCTGGCAATAAACAGAGTACATAGCAGATTGGTTTTGATTTGAACATGGAGAATAATTGATTACATGCATGACATGAAACCAACTACTTTAAACTTACAATAATTCAGAATAGTGAGTTCTGCACTGTTCTTCTCATTTACATAAAGACTGCTCCCAATAGTTCAAGTCCATTTTTTGAAAATAATACTACCTTATTTAACAATATTAAGGGAACAGAGGAAAGAGAATCAATTAAAATATAAAAGAATTGGTATATACAAATTTATAGACAGTGGGTAGCTGCTGTAATGCCTGTCATGGATGCTTCTCCAAATCACACAGCCACCTCCACTTTGCAGACGCAGCAGCTCTGTCATACAGGTAGATGGAGATTATAAACTTTTTTTTTCCTAAGGAAGGTGGATTATTATCCCAACAATGAAAACATTTTCTCAATAGAAGTATTGAAATATGAGCCAAGGGAAAAAAAAAAGTCACCTTGTCTTCCTTTAACCAATTCTTAATGCACTCCTCATGATACTTGTGTGCGCAGGGCAAAGTCATCAATACATCCCGCTTGTTGTATTGCATTTTACATATCACACACCTGGGTTCAGATGTAACATAAACCATACTTTTAAAAAAGATAATAATAATAATTGCAACATTTGGGACTGAATCAACTGAGTCAAATTAAGTGTGTTGAAGCAAATCAGGACAGATAATCTTTGACTTATTTCCAGTTTTCCCAAATGAGACCATATTGGTTTAAGGAGCTGACAACTGAATTATTGGTGGGTCAAGCTACTGTACGTGCCGGTCTAATAAATAAGGCGCAAGAATCTCAGATGAACACGTTTCAACTTTCGTCTTTGTATGAGTAGGTTGACCCTGGTTCTGACATACCAATGCAATCTTATATTAAAAAGACACCTGGCTGAATCTTAAACAATCTTACTCTGAGTCATCATCAGCAGATTTGCCTTTTTTCTTGGATGGTCCTTTGTATTTGTGGGTTGGTAACCGGGACATCTGCTCTTCTGATAGTCCTTTTTTTACAGTTCCAATGGATTGTTCTAATTCGGAAATTTGCTGACAAAAGATAATACCCGAAAGCTTAAATTTTATATCATAAGTAACATTTAAATTTTCTTGTTTGTTTTTAACTTCGTTCTACTCTATACATAACACTCGTTTCTCGGTTCATATCTTTCAAACGTTAACCCTTTTTCCTGCCACCAAAAAATCCGACAGCTAATTGAGTCAGACTCGAGAAGAATGCCTACCTCATAAGTCATTTCATCAGGATTAAAATCATCTTGAACTCCATTATTGTCACCCTGCAATTGAGCATATAATTTAACCTAGTTTTATACATATAAGAATCGTCTATTTGTGCTGTTATAAAGAGAGCACAAACCCTTTACCGAAAATGAAGGTCCTCCTTGACTGACTCCTCCGGCCGCTGTAAACAGAGAGGAAATTGAATTATTCTGTCTAAAAATGTCTAATTGAATTAACTGAATTATAAGAATTAAGTACCTGTATACTGTGCCCCGATAAAGCATATTATGGCCACAAAATACTAATTAATATTATTATTCATGTTAAAGTCAGTTGATCTTTCACCTGTTCTAAAAGGTTCATCAAAGGAAAAGTTGTGGAAACTATCCTCCATCTCCTGCAAGTGTCTAGCTAGAGCTTCATCTGATGTATGCCCCCCTGAGTACTCCCCCAAATAAGTAATGCTTCCATAATTACCTCCATATGAATAACTGTTATCATGTGTTCGATATTCTGGAACGGGAAGTCCCTACAAACAATGGGAAAAAAAGCCCCATCTTGAATAATAACCTATTTATTTTCCAGTGTAGCCTCGAAAGTGAAAAGTCAGATCAAATTACAAAATTAGAGAATGAAGAAAAGGGGCCAGGGGAAGTAGGAGGGTTGTCTCGTTTCCACTTTCCAGACAAAATTAGAAACGAAATTCTCAGGTACCTCATCACGGTATATCTGTAGTATGTTGTCAGCTTCCTGAAACATGTTGTACAGGTTTTGTTGAATGTTGTCCCAATAACTATCACTATTTTGTGATCCGCCTTTCCATATGATTGTTATTCACAGATATAAAATATATATATCCTTTACACACTAAATTGAAAAAGCCCTTCGATTGCAACCCTTCAGATTACTATTCGGTATTTATTACTCAAAGATAGGGCAAATACCAAAAGCTTAAAGCAAATGCAAGGAAGCAATTTTTCCAATAACTCACCAGCATCAGGGTAGTTAGTTTTTTTTCTTCGTATCGGCCTCAGAGATATATACGAGGGGCTCGCATTTTTATTTGGCCAGTGGCGTGGAAAAAAATTCAATGTGCCTGTTTAAAAACAATGGAGGATGATTCATCACAAAATAACTCATTCATGGTAGTAGATACCCTCGACTTAAACGCTGAAATTTGTAAATCTCTCCAATAAATCATATCAGATCTTTCCACGGATTCATTAATATCCTAGTATTTAAATTTTAAAATAATGTATTCCCATCCTCTTTTAAGATTTTTCCCTAATTCCTCTTTCAAGTTCATAACTTAAATTTTAAGATTTTTCCCTAATTCCTCTTTCAAGTTCATAACTTAAATTATTATATCATGTTTTTTTTTTCACAAAAGATGGAAGTACCATGTATATTTAGCCAATAAACTGATTATATCCTCATGATAATTTCAAGGATCCAAAATTCTGAATCAAGTACATAGTGTTTGGAAAATATTATTCCTTATACATTTTTTGTTCATACACTTTTGTCCCATGATGTACCAATAATCTATTAGTTTAATCATAATAGATCATTTATTAATTAATTGACTTATCTATGAATTAATAAATTCCACATGTCGTTTATCCAATAATAATACGTCATGTCATAGAAGAGAAATATTTTGGAAAAACTTGATAGGGCAAGTTGCATTATTTTCATATAAATAAATTGAAAAGCATAATATTCTGAAGATGTAATTAAAAGGATTATCATGCGTCATCACAACTATTAATTTCGAGTTTTTTTTTCTTTTGTTTTTAAATGTATGTGCTAAATTATATCTAAGGAAAAAAAAACAATAATCAATAAGACTAAAAATAATACAAAATTCTATAAAACGACTATTCCATGTCAACATATGTACCTTTCAATTAAAAGTATATTATGTATTCTTATTTTAAAAAATTAATAATTTATTACATATCACATGTGTTAGTTAAATAATAATATTTATTTTAATATACTCTTTAATGATTCTTGTAAAAAATAAATAATTGTTTCAAGAATATGATTATCTGAAATAATTTAAATAAAAGAAATGACAGAATAAAACTTTAACCATGCTTAAAAAATATGCACAAAGAAATTTAATGCATCCATGCGGGCAATATAAAAATTTTTAATGCTACGAACCTATTTTTTATTGTAAGCATGGATATTAACTCATGAATTGAAAAAATTGTAGTAATATAAATTTTCCAATTGGAAAATTACCAGAGATGGGAGGATAGCATTGCTGAAATTTTTTTAGCAAACTTCTACATACAAATCGATTGAGAAACAATGGTCTTCTACGGAGCAAGCAAACATTTGAAAAACCATCCACAAGCTATTAATAAAATGAATATCGTTTGTAGTGAAAATATTATATAAGAAAAACAAGACGGTACCTGATACCTATAGTGACCTTATGTCTACCTCGTCACCGGGATGATACAGGACGAGCCAAATAGTTGAGTCCTGCAAGAGCAGGTCTTACTACAAAAGAACAAGATCATTGTTGTATCCTAAACAACTCATCTCCAACAAATTTCAAAAGGCTGTATCCTACTCGATGGCCACTAAAAGCCACATTCATGTCTTTTGAAGTCAAATGCAGAACAGGTTTTATAGGAGTTTACTAGTGGAGTTTGAAAGGCATCATGCAAATGGACCTTTTACATTTACAGACCAAATCTAAGAGTTACAACTCTTACATACCACAATCACACACCTAATCTAGAAGTAAAAACACATTCATATTCCTCCATCAACAAATGATTGTTAATCAATCGCCTCCCACTTGTCTCTTCCATGAGTCTTCCACAATCAACTCATCAACTCCCCAATCTTCATAGCTGAAATGTTTTACCAAATATCAGAAATGCTAAAAAGAATGCAAGTAAATAAACACATGGTCACAATCACCAGAACCACCCCCACCCCTTTGTTTTCCTTCTTTTTCGTTCTTCCCTTAAAGCACAACGCAAAACTATCAGCTAAGGCCTGAAGGTCCATTGTTCCTGTAGAGAAAATTAGAAGAGAATTTTTTTTAACAAAGTCTCACCTTCCATCAGGCAAGTAGCGTCGAATGGTGAAGGGTATTTTCCGCTCTCGAAGCTCCTTCATGGCAATCTAATATAAATTCAAAAAAATGAGGGTTATAGCAAAGAAAAGGCAATACAATATTAGTCTGTAGGATGAATGAAATTAAGTGTGCTCACTAATCATGTAACATAGATCAGTATGAATTACAGAAATGTGACCATAAACAACTTGCTTGAGTTTAAAATTGTCAAGGCTAAGAATGGGATATTAGAAAGAAAGCTTGCAGATTAAGTAAAGAAGACAAATTAAAACTTTGTGAGAAGCAAAGAAACTGCTACAACAAAGAAAAAAAAGGGAAAACCGAGGAAAAACGCCAGAATGAAATTGAACCAATCATATTTTCAACATGAACAAGATTCAAAAGAGGATAAAACCTGGGCCTCATTGTTCTTTATCTGGTTGAGGAATTACAATGTTGGATGTTTGCTAATCAAATTCAGTAACAAGGGTTAAACATACTACATACTGCATCTATACAATACTATAGTAGTAAATAAGAAATAAGAAACCAATTTGAATGTTGTTGGCAGTATCATGTGTATATCGCATACTAACTTCTGACAGGCAGGAAGGTGCCTTGTGGACCACATATCAGCTAATATAACAATAGACAATTCCAGAACAAATTTACACCCTCCAAAACTATGTTGGAGAAATAGTATTTCATCATCCATCATCATCCCTCCCTCTTTCCTTTTAGTCCCAATCCTCTAGAAATCATAGATCAAACATACAACCTAAAAACTTCTTTACAGAAAAAAAAGAACATAATGAAATAGGGAACTCAAAATTAATTTTCTGCATATTGATATGCAAAACACGTATTGTCCGATAGCTAAGCAAAGTGGCTGCCTTGTATAAGCATTCAACTGGCATTAATATCAAGCTACACTACAGCTTTATCAATTTTCTAGACAGCAGAATATATCAAAGAGGCAGTGGAAAAAAGAGATTGTAGTCATTAACATAATCTTACCTCAAGTGGGTCAGTCTCACCCTCCAACTCAACCATAACTGGAGCATTCATACTGCTCAGGAAAAAAAAAATTGTTAAGCATATAATAGAACTGGAACTGCTAAACCCTATCCCCCAGCCTCCTCTAAAAATAGAAAAGAATCTGAAGTTTATTAATTTAACCTGATTTGCAGGGCGCGGGTACCCAAGATTCTAGCGCGCTCATATTTGGTCATATACTTTGATGTTTTGCGAGTAGTTTTGTCTTTCCTATCCTGGTCTTCTTTTTCCTCGGTTTCAATAGGTTCTACAGGAATGTCATCATTGTTATTGTTTTCCAAATCCTCCTCAGCTCCTTCCTGTCCACCATCAGAACAATTCATTATAACAAAAAATTAAGGATTTCTTTTAGAAAACAATGTTAACAAAATGGATTCTCACTTCAATCTCAGGCTCTGGTGGCTCATCCTCATATCTGTAGGAACAATGTCAACAACCCAGAGTTAAGTTCTTGAGCAAAAAAAAAAAAAAAACAAACACACACACAATGTAGTAATTTTAATAGTAAAGAAAAAAGCACAACAGGGATAAGAGAAACACTTAGGGTTCATAAAAGAAAATTTCCCATTCCCAACAAGAAAATTTAAGAGAAAAAAACTTATTGATTTCTCAGTTCCAAACAATTTAAAAACAAAAACTAAAAAACCGACTTCTCGGATTTCCTTTATCCGAATTTCATCAGAAACTGGAAAACATAATCAAATTATCGAATCGAATACATAAAAAATAAAACAAAATATGCCAAATGAATAGAGAGAGAGATAACCCCATATCCATGTCATTATAGTCGTCGTCCGCCATTGTAGATATGCCTAAAGAAACTTTGATGAGTGTAGACTCTGACGGGTTATGGCGCGAAGCTTTACTTCCCTCCTCTGCTTCCTTCTCAAAAAAAGCCCTAACCAAATATGGTAAGAGAGGTTTATGTTGTAGAATTTACCTTACTATTATTTATGGACATGCTGACCTAAACCCGCTAAACTTAATAAAAATACCCCTCATGTTTGTCGAAATATCATTTATTACCCTTGGCTTCTTCAAAATAATCTTATGCGCCCCCCCCCCCTTTTTTTATAAAATTTTTCATTTCTTGGCAAAATTTATATAAGTTGGAGTAATATTATTTTTTCGGGGAAGGAGAAATTAATTAGAATAACCTTAAATATTCTATTATAGTATTGTTTTTTTTAAAAAAATTTATATAAATATATAAAAATCAAAATTAAAAAAAACAAAGAAAATGTGAATTGTCTAATTTATTGACATGTGAACTATCTTATATGTTTGACACATATACTCATTTTAATGGATAATAATTAATTTAAATTCAAACATTTAATCAAATAAACATCAATTATCACCTTAATTATCTTTTGGTAATTATTAATTTTAAGTCTCAATATTTTTGTTGAAGTTTGTAAGTATTGCTTTGACTTTAATTTTTTCAACCAAATTAAATTCAAAACAATATATATCATCTTTATTTTTTGTAATCTCTAATTATTTTTACGTTCAATTTCATTCAATATCATTAATTTTATATAAATATATAAAATTTAAAATCTTTAGTAAAAAAGAAAAATTTTCAATGTGGATGGCCTATATTATTGATATGTGAATGATCTTAAAAATCATTATGCATATTATATTTTATTTTATTTGGATTATTTTTAAAAAATTAAATTAATTAAATTAATTTTTTATTATTATTTATCTTAAATCACTTTAAATTAAATTCATTTAAAGGTAATAAAACTTTAACTGCCATCGTTATAGAATAATTTTATGTTCTCCTTTTTTAGTTATAATATTCAACTCTTAAATTATATCTTATATAAATAAATAAAAGCCAAAACTATTGGCAAAAAATAAAAATGTTCAATGTGGATGGCTTATATTATTGACATGTGGATAATCTTTATTAATCACCACATGTTCTGTATTAAATATATTTATTCATATTTATTTATCTTTAAATTGATATGAATTATTTGATTTCATAAAAATTTTAAAATATTTCAATGCATTAATTATATTTATTTTTTAAAAAAATTTCAATTGACTGACCTTTTATTTTTAATAAAATATTCTAAATCTTACATTTTATCTTATATAAATATATAAAAGTCAAAATTTTTGGTAAAGAAGAAAAATTTTCAATGTAAATGCCTTATATTATTAACTGTGGACAATATTGAAAATCACCATGTATCATGCATTTTATTTTTCAACTAGTTTTTTAATCAGTTTTTTAGAAATTGGTGGGTTTTTTCAGAAATCGATGGATATTCTTAGGATTTTCTAAAGAGAAGGTAGAGAAAATCAAGGTTCGAGAAAAAGAGCAGAGGGTTTTCGAGACAAAAACGAATGGCTTGGTTTTTATAGAGCTAAAAAATGACATTGTTTCAACAAGTCTAGATCCGTGCGTAACTCGAACATGATCCACACGCCATCCATTGTTCGACTCGACTCGATCGCAGGTTTTTTTTCTATTGTAATTTTATTTTTTGATTTCATTTTTATTTATTTTATATTTTGAGTTTTTTTTTTACATTTTTATTTTTATTTTACTAGTTTTCATTATTTATTTATTTTTATTGAATAAATTATTATTTGTTAAATATTTTATAAAAATATTTTTTTTTAAAAAAAAAGCAACAATAAAAAGAATAAATAATAAAAAAAACTTTTTCAAATAAATTTATGAATCTTACCAAACTATTAGAGATTTTTCATGGATTTAAATTTTATAGAATCCACCAAACTATTGAGAAATTTCATAAATAAATTTTTAAAAAATAATAAAAAATGATTTTTTCTACCAAACTATTAAAAGATTTACTTCTTAAATTAAGTAGTACCAAACTATTGTGACTTAATGAATTTTTTCAAAAAAATAAAAATAAAATTTTATAAATATCTTTCAAATGAAAACTCACTAAATTATTAGGAGATTTACCTCAAAATAAATCCTACCAAACTATTAGAGGGTGTTATTGATTTTTTTGAATAAAATACATTAATAAATCCAATGACGGAAACTTTTTAGGGTGGGACACTAGTCTCCATGAATACTTTTAAAATGAGAGAATTATCTTAAATTACTACCAAAATATTTGGGTAATTTTAGGATTAATTTTCAATAGTAAATAATTTGGTAAAATATAAACATATTTAAGGCTTGAATAATTTGAAATCAAATCGATACCATCATTTGGATAGGCGCTGTGAGGGTGCTATAATCTTTTTCACATGTAACTGTACTCTCGAACCTAAAATCTAGTTTCATGGATTAAAATATACTATTTAAAGATACATAAGTCAATCTTAAGACTCCTCTTTAAATGGAATAGATTCGATCAAATGGCTAATCACACTTAAACAAAAAAGATTTGTGGCAACTCCTAAAAATCATATCTAGCGGTAAATCCATAGATCTATACATTATGACAATGATTTATCAAAATATTTAATATTAAAATTAATCTTAAAATTACTCAAATAATTTGATAGCAATTTAAGATAATTCTCTCACCTTAAGAGTATTCATGGAGACTAATGTCCTACTTTAAAGAGGTTTTGTCATCAAATTCATTTAATTTTGCTTTCAAAAATAAATATCTATAAATCAGGTTTACAGTAAAAAATGTCTTCTAATATGTTGATAAGACTTTTTATTGACAATTATCCTCCAATTTGTTAAAAAGATTTTTAAAAAATATTTTTTAAGGAAAATTCATTAAGTTTTCCAATAGCTTGGTATGATTGAAAATTTTTTTTGAAACTATTTTTTATTTTACAAATAAAATAAAATAAAATGAAATGAAATAGAAAACATCATACAAAAATTATCATGCAATAATAATATAACATATATCATACAATAAATACAAGTTATCATGCAATAATATAATATACAAGTTATCAAACAATTAATATAAAATATCATGCAAATATATTAAATTTATACCAAAATAAGAACTAAAAATAAATTAATAAAAACACCATACAAAAATAAACTTTTTCATTATATTAACACAATTAACCTTTTAAAATAATAAACATTAAAATATATATAATATAAAAATCAAAAATCAAAATAGAAAAATAAATGAAAAAGGAAAAGGGAATACCTATGGATCGGGTTGGGTTCTATACGTGGGCAGTACGCAAGTCAACCAAGTTGGGATGGGTCAACCTCTCTGCCCAAAACGATGTTGTTTTTTGTGGGTGTAAAAACCTAAAAAACCCTATGCTTTTCTCATAAAAGACTTCCCTTTCTCTCTTTAATTAAAATTTCTTTGGCCTCTCTTTAGAAACCATGCTGGGAAATTCAACAACACCAAATTCCAGCCACAAATCTAGATTTCAACATCGAAATCTTCAAACGGCGACTAGAATATCAAGTAAACCCAGAAACCACTGTTTCCAACCGTCATGAATAATCGAAAATTTCAAATGTTCACCGAAAAATTCATGAAGAACCCAAAAAAAACCCAAAATTTTTTTAAAAAAATTCCAATCAAATCCAAAATTTTAACTTTGATCCAATAACCCTTGAAGCTTAAACAAATTCCAAAATCAACCTAAACTTGAAACCAAATATTAAATTCCACAACACAGAAATTCCCAAAAAAAAATTCTAACTATATAATTCTATAATAACTTAAAATCTAAACAAAGACTCAAAAAACCCAAAAAAATTTTTTTTTTTCCAAACTCATATAAACCCAGAACCTTTTTTATGCATTGGTTGACTATTTCCCAAAAATCAAAATGCAAAAAACTCCCTTTTTTTCTAGAATCCTGATAATCCCCAGAACTTAACCCAGAAAACGAATTCCTCCAAACCCTTTTTCTCTTCAATCCATTGATTCCCCATTTTGTGTGTGTAATCACTCTATTTTATAGAGATAGAATCTTTTTAATTTGAAAAAATATAATCTAGGATTTTATCTCATTTTTTGTTGTTTGATTTTGCACGATTTAAACCCTAAAACTTTCCATAAGTATTGGTCATTGAATACAGGATTATGGAGGAAGATTTTTTTTCGTTTTTTGGTTCTTTTGATTTTTTTTAATCTTTGAGTTTTTTTGTTTTCTTTTTTTTTTTTTCACTTTCTAAAATCAAAATAACAATAATAATAATAAATCAAATTAAAAATAAAATTAAAAATTTTTTATTGGGTCCGAAATTTCACAGTCGGGCCTAATTCACAATCGAAAACTCATTTTTTATTATAAAAAAGCCCCGGACAAAATAAAATATTTATATTTTTAAAAGAATTATGATTTATCATAACCAAAGTTGCAATGAAAAAAAAATGAAGAATTAATATTAATTTGGGTGTGGGTTCTGACTTGAAAATAAAAACGAAGAGTTTAATTTATAGGGTACTTGATAGATTTGAGTAACAAAAGAGGGAAACACATCTAATGAGTTCTTTCCAAAGCTGAGACCACATCTGGTATCGAGTCTAAAAGGAGGGTTAACGTTGCCCACATCCTTGAGTTTGAGCTGCGGAAGTTGCGAAAGCAAACTGCAATTATTCTCATCTTCCTCTTTTCTCCTATATGCTTCCTGCCATTATTATTAATTCATCTCTCTTCCTCACTATCTATGGTTCTAGGAAATTAGAAATATTATGGCTCTTACGCTAGGACCTTCCCCGCTAAACTAATCTAATCTAATCTACTCGTGCAGCAATATGGCTTAAAGAAAATGAACTAATTTCTTTTTAAAAATATTTTTGAAAACCATTTCTCTGTAAAAGCTTGGCCAAAAAAGATATCAAGAATCTCATTATCATAAATTTGGAATTTGGAATAATTTATTTGTATAACCTTTTCAGTCCAAAAAAGAAATCTGTCATCTGAAAAAAATAAATAAATAAAGCATAAATTAAAATCATGGAAGTATCTAATAACTCAAAACTTACCGTTCTCACTCACTCAAAAATAATAATAATTACAATTTTTTTTATAATTAAGACCGTCAGTATTTAAATTGTAATCATTAAAATTAAAAATTTAATACACAATTATTAGAAAAAAAAATTACTTGTCAGCCTCTCAATCCCCAACATTACAAATAATTTGCTACAGTAAACATCCTCTTTTAATCTGTTGTGATAGATATATCGTCAGCGTAGTTTATGTATAGACTATGTATAATCCATATAACTTATAATATATAATATTATATAATATTATATAATATCAATTTAAGTTAATTTTATTATTATTATTATTATTATATTTATGTTGTAAAGTTAAAAAAGAGTTCCAAGTACATTGAATTGCTATCACAAGATAGAATTCTAATTGTATTGAATTTTTTCAACCTGACTCTTATATCATATTAAAAACCTTGTTAGTATTGGGAAAATAGGGTTCAAGGCAGAATGCTAATGGCGACTTCGTATTTTCTTGGTTGAGTGGCAGTTTTCTACTCAGTTTTTTGTTGCCAGTGATTCAACTTCTCGTTCCTTGGCTTGTCTTCTGCCCTCTGGTACGTATACTCTCCCAATGGGCCGGGGTTAATTATGCAAAAAAAAAAAAAGTTAGTTTCCATTGCTTTTTCCCTGTGCATTTTGTTAATGCTCTTATGGCTTGGGGTTCATTAATTGGTTAAGACCTCTGCATGTCACGTCTCACTTGAATGTGAACATTCTTTTCTTAAATTTATTCGTCATTAACATATATATGTTGCTTTGAGAAAAGTAGCTATACATGAAACTTTATTGTAGCCTGTAAGAAACCTTCATTCACTTTTTTGGGGGTTGAGGGGGGGATGGTTTTTTACAATATTATTTGTAATTTTAATTTGTTTCATTCCTAAATTAAATTTTATTAATTTAAAAATTCAATTAAATTTATTTACAATACATTCTTAATTAAAATTTCAATTATACTATCTTATTGTTATTAAGCATGGTTCTTTATGATTAATAAGGTTCTCTATATACTAATTTTAAGAGTATAATATTATGTTGATTGAAAACTCTTAAATTGCTGAATTTCATCAAACAGCCACTGTAATTAAATTTGTTGAATACGTAGTAGTTTGCATTTTATTTCCAATAAAAGTAGGAGTTATTGAGCAAAATAGTAAAACTGGTTTCAATCCATTCACACCAACTTGAAAAATATTTGACAAAGAATGTGAAACTTTTTTATTTTTTGTGAATAAAGAAGGTGAAACTTTGGTAAGAAACTAAACTATCATTTTATTTTATATTCTAATATTATATATTAAGGAAACAATTATTATAAGCTGTAATATAATATTAAAGAGGATTAATATCTGATCAGTCATATAATTCAATATGAATTCTAAAGTAATGAAAATACTTATCTATAATATTTTGACTTGAATCTATCCCTGCTTTCTAATTTGTTATTATTAAATCATTTATAAACTAAAATAATATTAGTAATTAATTATACCTTAAAATTTCAATTAAAAAAATATATCAAAACCGTGTATTTCCGTACTCGTACAAAAGGTTGAGAAAAAAATAAACATCATTATGTATATTAAATGTGGAACATGCTCCTAATTAAATCGAAACTATGAAGAGTTTTTCATAAACATTAATATATAATATTTCTTTTGAAGTGTTTCTCATGAACAATGTCAACACATTGAATATAAATCCCTTATATAATTAAAATCGTTGCGTTGACGGTCAGTTATTCTTTCTCTTGAATACCAACTTCCCTAAACGTTCGTCTTTCTATTATAGAAAATGAGAAAAATAAACTTTATTCATGCACAATATTATAAGCTTTGAATTCGGTGGCCCATGGTGGGGCTATCTCATAATTCGTTGCTTAAGCCAATGCTCCAGTTTCACCTAAAACAAGTAGGCGTATCTATAATAACTATATATGATTAAAGCATATGTATTTATTTATTTTTATTAGGATTTTATAATTAAAATTTTCTAAGGTTTCAAGTAAATTTGGCTTTTTATGTTTTAGTAGGTATGAAATTTGAATTAATATTGCTTGGGGAAAAAAGTTAATTGCACAATTACAACTTATTTTCAACTGACAGAAATGAACAAAAAAAAAAAGGAGTTTCTCATCCAAAAAGTGGTATTATAATTGGAATAACCAATATTCATCCTGTTTTTGCTTCAAAATAGAAATGATAAAACCCATAGATCTCCATCAGTCTAATTGAATAATCGAATATAAATATTTATAAAAGAAATTTTGAGAAGCAGAAGTGGAAGCTGTGCAGGGGTTCTGGGGCATAAACTATTTGCATCATGGCATGTTCAAGAGTTGACCAAATTACCTCAGACAGTACGTCCTCATGTCCTCTATGTAGATTTTGCCAATTAATTAAAATTTCTAATCTAGGTTTGTATCAACTGGACCAGGTTCTTACCAGACAGGATTTAACTGGCAACTTGCTTACTTGGTAGTAGTAAATTTCTTTTCTTTTGGCAATACCGTATTAAGATCATTTATTAATATCTTTAAATCTCACTGTCTCGTTTCAATTTTTGTTTCCATCAGCCAGCTAAGCTGCAAACTGTAATCTCACTCTCAGTTCCATTTTTAAACACTCAACTTTTGCCTCTCTCCTTTCAATTAAATCACTTCCCAATTCCCAAAACCATATACGCTACCTTTGCACTATACATAATTAAATACTAGTATTGATTTCCCAAATTGTACCCTCCGCCCACATGACTCACTAGATCCAAAACCTGTTTCGCCTTCTCTCCAAATCTATACCGTAAATATATAGAGAAGTAAAATCAAACAAAAGAGAAGAAACAGCCATTCTCTACTCGTAATCAACATGGCTGGTTTTGATTCACTATACTATGCCACCTCCAAACCCCTCAAAGCCACTACGACAACCTCAGTTTCCTCCAAAACTGGCAGGCTTTTCTACTTAGCTCTTATTTTCTGCCTCTGCTCCCTCTGTTACCTCTTTGGCCTTTGGCAACATGGCGGTTTCCCCACCATCACCACCACCGCACCCGCCGTCTCTACGACCAAGATTATATCAGTCCCATGCATCCCAAACGAAAACACCACCACCATGACAACATCAGAAACCTTAGATTTCTCAACCCACCACGTGGCGGACTCTGATGATGAGTCGCTTCTTCCAGACGTCAAAACCTATCCTTCATGCAGCATTAAGTACAGTGAATACACCCCATGCGAGGACCAGAGAAGATCATTGAAGTTTAAGAGGGACAGGTTGATATACAGGGAGAGGCATTGCCCGGAGAAACAAGAGCTGCTGAAATGTCGTGTGCCGGCTCCGTATGGTTATAAGAACCCTTTTCCGTGGCCGAGGAGCAGGGACTTAGCTTGGTTCGCAAACGTGCCACACAAGGAATTGACAGTCGAGAAAGCAGTGCAAAATTGGATTAGATATGAAGGTAATCGGTTCAGGTTCCCGGGAGGAGGAACCATGTTTCCCCATGGTGCTGATGCATATATAGACGATATTGGAAAGCTTATAAATCTCAAAGATGGGTCTATACGTACTGCAATTGATACTGGCTGTGGCGTAAGTCTTCTACTCTTCTTCTTCTTCTTCAGTTTTTTTCTTCAAATTGTATTACAGTCAATTAGTTCGTTTGATTCTGTTTTCGGTGAACATGTTCGGTCAAAAGTAAAAAACGTCTCTTGCTTGGGAACCTTCAAAACCTTTTAGCGGATTTCCCGTTTTATTAGTATTTACTTTCATTTCTTTTTCCAATAACCTTTCATTTGATTGGTGTGAGGTTAATTAAAGGAAACGATATCAGAATTTGTAGAAAACGAGCGATCGCAGTATCAATTCATTGGGCTGCGTTACATTAAATATATACATATAGTGATTACTAAATTGCAAGTGGACTTCTAAACGTTTTCTTCTAAATTCTAGTGTTTGACTGTTTTGAGAAACAAACCAACCACCAATTCCTTTAATTCATTTTTTTTTTACAATTATTGTTCGACTTGATCACTTGTTTGTGTATTTTTTTAATTAGTTGTGATAATGTCGGTTAACTCAACTTTGGATTGAAATGCATTTATATGTTGTTGTAATATATAGATATCGTAAGAATCCACTTGAGGTAGTGTAAGTGTTACACAGTTTTTCTTAGATTAAAATTAAATTCATATTAATTATATTATATTTTATATCTTTTTATATTAAACAGTTTATATGTTATTCACATCATTTAGATTCAATAATAAAAAAATGTATAATATTTATATTAATATAAGTGGATTTTTCCTCATATATATTATATTATATATATACACACAGAGGATTCAAATATAAAAATGGAACTGTCACATCTAGTTATCATAGTGTACATACCATGCATTCATAATCCATAACGAAGTTTATATCATGATTTATTAACTAGTTATGAATTAATGAAGGTTCATCAGCAGTTTTTCCTTTCATAATATCACCACTTTTACATTCAAAGTGCTACTAAGAAAAAACTAAATATAGTAGTATTAGCACAAATAACACATTAGTAAGTGTGGTACATTTATAGTTTTTGACCCAAAAAATTTGGTACTAGTTTAGTTTATCCCAATCTAATTTGGGAAATTTGATATTTATATACGCTAAAATACATTTCGACAATGTAGGTTGCCAGTTGGGGAGCATATCTTCTGTCTCGGAACATCCTAACAATGTCGTTCGCACCAAGGGACACCCATGAAGCACAAGTGCAATTTGCCTTGGAGCGAGGCATTCCTGCCATGTTAGGAGTTCTTGCTTCCAAGAGGCTTCCCTACCCATCCAGAGCCTTCGACATGGCTCATTGCTCTCGCTGCCTCATTCCTTGGGATAAATATGGTATTCCCATTAGGCCATCACCTTAATTTAATTTCATTATTACAGATATGCTTAATTCAACTTGGAATTTACTTGTTTTCTGCTTTTCATTGGGTAGACGGGGTTTTTTTTATTGAAGTTGATCGAATTTTAAGGCCTGGCGGGTACTGGATTCTCTCTGGCCCTCCAATTCGTTGGAGGAAATATTGGCAAGGCTGGCAAAGAACAAAAGAGGATTTGAATGATGAACAGACTCGTATCGAGAGTGTTGCTAGGAGCCTATGCTGGAAAAAGTTGGTGGAGAAAGATGATATTGCCATTTGGCAAAAGCCCATTAATCATTTAAACTGTAAAGTTATTCGCAAGTTTAACCGAAATCCACCTTTTTGCCCTTCTCAGGATCCTGACAAAGCCTGGTTTGTTGCTTTTCAATCCAACTTGTTTTTCAAATATTTTGTCTATACGTTAATCAAGTTTAATTAATTTTTACTATTTTTAGGTACACAAATTTGGAGACTTGTTTGACTCATTTGCCTGAAGTTTCCAATGATCAAGAAACTGCTGGTGGTGAACTGGCAAAATGGCCTGAAAGACTAAATGCAATCCCACCTAGGATTAGGAAGGGAACTGTAAATGGAATTACAGCTGAAATTTTCGAACAAGATTCACAAGTATGGAAGAGGAGGTTGTCTTATTACAAAACAGTGAACAATCAATTAGGACAACGTGGGAGGTACCGCAACATTTTGGATATGAACGCACACTTGGGGGGATTTGCCGCTGCTCTCATTGACGATCCAGTATGGGTAATGAATGTGGTTCCCGTTCAGGCTGAAATCAACACACTAGGAGTTATTTATGAAAGGGGACTGATCGGAACATATCAGAGTTGGTATGCTTAAGCTTTGCTACCTTTTTTTCTTTTTCCTGTAAATTATCAATATCAACTACTCTTTGAAAGCTTGGGTCATACATATAATCATTAATTTTCTTGCAGGTGTGAAGCCATGTCTACTTATCCAAGAACATACGACTTCATTCATGCTGTTTCTGTGTTTAGTCTCTATAAGGACAGGTATTCTTTTGTTAGCATAATATTTTAATTTTCCAATTTACTAGAAATTTGAGTTAAAGTCAACTTAAGTGTGGTGCCCTGTATTCATGCAACAGATGTGAGTTGGAGGACATTCTGCTAGAGATGGATAGAATTTTGAGACCTGACGGAAGTGTAATCTTCCGGGATGATGTGGATATATTGGTTAAGATCAAAAAGATAACGGATGGATTGAATTGGGATAGTCAAATTGTTGATCATGAAGATGGGCCTCTCAATAGGGAAAAGCTTCTGTTTGCAGTGAAGGTGCATTGGACAGCGCCTGCCTCCGATGCAACTGGATCACCAACTTCTTAAAGCTATTTTCATTTATTGATTCGTTTATGTGTCTAAGGAAACCAATTAAGCTCAATTTATAGGCAAACATTGACAGTTGTATATGAGCCAATCAACAACCTGCAATCAGTGTTAGATGTTAAAACTCAAATTTCATCCCCAATTACTTTCATTCTCAATTTTTTAACAGTAATGGTATATTATGCTTCGATTTCTTTGATAAATTCTTAGGCAACCCGAGTTATATTTTTATTATTTGTAATGCGTAATTATTTAACAAAGCTAAAACATGACTCTGTAGTTATGTTTTCCAAATTTTCACTCCAATTTTCTGGTTATCTATCCATCTGCTCTGGCAAGAAATGTTTTCCAAAATTTCACACCAATTTTCTGGTATCATCAAAATTGTACTGTGTAGTGATGCGCCCACGAGAAATGTAATCCTTCAACTATCTTGAATACAACAAAATTGTCTTGTGCTTAAAACTTAGATAGGTAACTCACGCAATGGATTACTCTCAGCATCAAAATCGAACTATAAATAGTCCAAAATCTCAATGAATAAGACACATAATTGAGAAAGAAAAATAACCAAGATTTAGAAAAGATAACATTAGTCATGGCAGTTCTCAAGTCGCTGGTTTTTCTAAGTTCGCAAGCTGCAGCACTACTTCTGTTGCTTGCTGTAGCCGCAGTGCAGACCCAGATGGCTACGGCACAGAGCTGCTCAAATGATCTCACCAAGCTCAATGTCTGCGCACCTTATGTGGTGCCTGGTGCCACTGAGACCAATCCTGGTTCTGACTGCTGTGGTGCTATCCAATCTATGCAGCATGACTGCCTCTGCAGCACTCTCAGGATTGCTTCTCAACTCCCTTCTCTATGCAATCTTCCGCCTCTTAATTGTGGTAACTGATAGTAAGTAATCTTTTTCCTTCTAATTTCTGTTCTTCAATTTTGGTCATAATTAGATAACATTTCTTCACTCTATGTGCAGATATGCGAATCAGTGCATGATGGTGATGCAAGAATGGTGCAAGTGGGTAGAAAATAAAGCTGGACTTTTGCCATCTTGTCTTTTTTTTTTTTTTTTTTCTTTTAAATGCTTATCCCGATATACGAGACTGTGACCAAGCAATGCTACGGGGATTAAAGAGAACTTAATCAGTACTGGGAAATAAAAATATTTTCTCTATGAAGAAAACTAAGAGCAGCTAGTTTTTTTTTTTTTTTTGACAAGTCAATCATTCCATTTATAAAAGAAGCAGGAAAGACCGACCAGCTACAACAACAACAAATTCTTTCTCATTATCAAAAGGAAGCCTAAAACAGAACACATTACGATAGATTATGGGTATCAACTCAATATCATTGGATAAAATCCTTGTGTCTCGGGGTTCTTCACTTAATTCTGCCCAAAATACTCGACCTGTCATTAACATCTAAGACTTAGCTACGCGTGCAATCTCAAAGTGTTTAAATGTTGATACCAAATCGGCCTATACCAAACAAGCCTAGCTTGTTATTATCCCTTAAAAATGGCCACAGAAGCTTTAAATTGTCCAGAGTTTGAATCCTTCAAAAATGTTGCGCCTGAAGCAATAATCACAACAATACAGAAGCAATAGACAACAATCAATAATCAAATGCGCAGAAAAATAAAGCACACCAAGATTTACGTGGAAAACCCTCCAGTGTAGAGGGAAAAAAACCACGGACCGCCAGAAAAATCTTCACTATCAAATAATAGTTATACAAAGTTCTTCTCTAGCTAAAACTAGAGCTAATCAACCACTAGAGAAACAATTGGAGAAATCTCACCAAATAAGTGACTCAACAAATACACCCTGGATTTGTTCCTAGAGAGCTTCAAACCCGATCTTCACCGTTCAGAATGTAAAACTCTGAATCATAAACCTCCTGACAAGGTTCCAACTCAATCGGACCACGAATCGACTTCCGTTCAACCAACTCTCCCTTCTCCTTTTTCTCTCTCTGCTTTTCCTGGCTTTTCTTCTTTCTCTGCTTGGTTTTCGACACACACATAAAACAATCCCACCTCTTTTTTTTATTAAGTAGCTAGGGCTCTGTGTAAAATAAAAGATCAAGGCCCATGGCCTTTACTTGGTCCAAAACCACTTACATGGGACTGGACCCCATTTTCCTAACAATCTCCCCCTCCAGCCCCATTAGGAGGAGATTCATCACCATAGCAGTTTCATTTGGAACTTACCTTGGCCAGGGAACTCATTCCGACCAAGTTATTGCAAAGCTCAAGCTTTTCCCTGGGAAGTATCTTAGTCAACATATCTGCCACATTTTTATCAGTATGGACTTTCTTCAATAGCATCTGCTGTTCTTCAATCACTGAACGTAACCAATGATATCTAACATCAATGTGCTTTGTTCTAGCATGGTACATGGTATTCTTACTCAAATCTAAAGCACTCTGGCTATCACAAAATACCACATACTCTTTCTGATTCAACCCCAATTCAAAAAGAAAACGTTTCATCCAAAGCATTTCTTTACATGCTTCAGTTGCTGCAATATACTCAGCTTCTGTAGTTGACAAAGCAACACACTTCTGCAACTTAGACTGCCAAGATACAGCTCCTCCTGCAAAAGTGAACAAATACCCTGAAGTAGATTTCCTACCATCAAGATCGCCTGCCATGTCAGCATCAGTAAACCCTTCTAGAATTGGTTGTGAAACTCCATAAGTCAAACACATTTTTGAGGTACCCCTCAAATATCTAAAAATCCATTTTACTGCTTCCCAGTGAACCTTCCCTGGATTAGAAAGAAATCTGCTCACTACACCAACTGCATGAGCAATGTCAGGCCTTGTACAAACCATAAGATACATTAAAGAACCGACTGCAGAAGAATAAGGAATACTAGACATAGCTAGTTGCTCTTCCTTAGACACTGGACAAGATTTCTTACTTAGATGAAAATGGTTGGCAAGTGAACTGCTAACTGATTTAGCATGTTGCATGTTGAATCTACCAAGCACTCGTTCAACATACTTTTCCTGTGACAACCACAGCTTTCCAGCTCTCCTATCCCGGATAATGTCCATACCAAGAATCTGCTTTGCTGGACCTAAATCTTTCATATCAAAAGACTTAGACAATTGTTCTTTCAACCTGCAAACCATACTAGCATCTTGTCCTACAATCAACATATCATCAACATATAATAATAGGATAATGAAGTTACCATTAGGGAATTGTTTAACATACACACAAGAATCCGCTGCTGTTCTTTTATAGCTATGACTCACCATAAAAGAATCAAACTTCTTGTACCACTGTCGTGGAGCTTGTTTCAAGCCATACAAGCTTTTCTTCAATTTACAAACTAAGTGCTCTTTCCCTTTCACTTCAAAACCCTCAGGCTGATTCATATAAATGTCCTCCTGCAAATCACCATGCAAAAATACAGTTTTAACATCAAGTTGCTCAAGTTCAAGATTCAAACTAGCTGTCAATCCCAGTACCACTCGAATAGAACTCATTTTTACAACTGGAGCAAAAATCTCATCAAAATCGATGCCTGGTTTCTGAGAAAAACCTTTTACTACCAATCGAGCTTTGTACCTTACTAGTTTGTCACCATCCTTTTTCAACTTGAACACCCATTTATTCTTTAATGGCCTCTTTCCTGTTGGAAGTTTAACAAGATCATAAGTACCATTCTTTCGCAATGGACTCCATCTCTTTTTTCATTGCTTTTAACCAGTGCTCTCTATCCGGAGTAGCCTGCACATCTTGAAAGCTTTCTGGCTCCCCTTCACTGGTAACTAAAATAAAATATGAACTTGAATACCTGGTAGATGGCCTGCGCTCTCTAGTAGATCTCCTGGGCTGAGACTCTACATCACTTAATGTCGAAGATAGCTCTCCCTGCTTAACACTCTCAGGTAGAGAGGATTGCTCCCCCTGCTCAAACTAATAGCATCTGGCTCATCACCAACTGTAGCTGGCTCATCCATATCCCCAAGTTCTGTTTCTGGCTCATTTTCACCATCTGTGGCTCTTTCCTGTGAAATCCCTGTCGGTGTTGAAACATCACACTCAACAGTAACTCGTGTAGTCTTCTCAATTTTCTCAAGATCTGCTATGGTTTCTTTTTCATGAAAGACCACATCTCTGCTTCTGACTGTCTTTCTCTTTACTGGATCCCATACCCTGTAGCCAAATTCCTCATCACCATATCCTACAAACACACACTGTGTAGCTTTACTATCAAGCTTTGACCTCTGCTCTTTTGGTACATGCATGAATGCTTTACACCCAAAAACTTTTAAGTGAGAGTATGAAGCATCTTTTCCTGTCCACACTCTTTCTGGAATGTCAAAGCCCAAAAGAACTGATGGTGACCTGTTAAGTAAATAACAAGTTGTGTTGACTGCTTCACCCCAGAATGGCTTTGGTAATTTTGCCATCCTCAACATACATCTGACTTTTTCCACAATGGTGCGATTCATTCTTTCAGCTATACCATTATGCTGCGGTGTTCCAGGTTCTGTCCTCTCATGCCTGATCCCATGCTTTGAGCAATACTCTTCAAAGCTTTTAGATGTGTATTCCCCACCATTATCAGTTCGAATACACTTCAAGGGTAACCCTGTCATCCTTTCAACCATGGCATGAAATTTTTGAAAATACTGCAGTACCTGACTTTTATATTTCAACATATACACCCAAATCTTACGTGAAGCATCATCAATAAAAGTAACAAAATATCTGCTACCACCTAATGACTCAACCTCAATGGGACCACATACGTCAGAATAAATTAATTCCAATCTATTTTCTTTTCTCTGAGAACTTTTACGAAAAGAAACTCTATGATGCTTACCAAACAAACAATAATCACATGAATCGAGAGACATACCTTTGGTCAAGGGAATGAGAGAGTGCCTTGCCAAAACCTGTAACCCTTTTTCACTCATGTGTGCCAGCCTCCTGTGCCACAAATTTGCTGAAACATCATTTTCAACGGTATTTACCTGGTTACCGTTCAATTGCATCCATGTCTTATACATTGTGCAGCATAATTTTCCCCTTGCAACTACCATAGATCCTTTGAGAAGCTTCCACTGTCCATTCTTTTGTCGACTTTCATATCCCTCCTTATCAAGGACATTAATAGCAAGCAAGTTCATTCTCATATCTGAAATGTGTCTGACATCTCTCAAAGTCAACATGCAGCCTGTACTAGTTTGTACAACAATATCACCAATCCCAACAATCTGCGACACACTCTTGTTTCCCATCTTGGTACAACCAAAGTCTCCTGCTTTGTAAGTTGTAAACAACTCTCTCTTAGGAACACAATGATATGCCGCTCCTGTGTCAACTATCCACTCAATGCCGGGATCACTAACATGATTACAATCACCATGTGTACAAATCAAAGTAACTGAATCACTATCTGAATTCACTGCTGCAACATTGCCATCATCTGAACTCTTGCCTTTCTCATCTTTTCGCTCTTGCTTCAAGATTCTACAATTTCGTTTTATATGACCAGCCTTACCACAATGGAAACACTTCACTTTACCTCTAAACTTAGATTTATGTTTAGACTTACAAGTTGCAATCTTTTTAACAAGCATAACTTTATTCATACCTGTTTTTCTCTCATACAATGCTGCCAATTTTTCCCAAACAATGTGAGCATCCGATTCCTGCGCTACATGATGGAACACGCTGATATCAACCCATTTTCTGATTGTAGCCAGCGTCTTTCTACCTAGCTTCTTCCAGCTTTCATCTTTCATATCTGCTGGTTTAACCGAATCACCCAATACTGGCTCATACAAATCTTTGCAGTATAGATGATCCTCCATCATAGGCTTCCAAATTGAATAATTTGATGCTGTCAATTTTATCATGGAACCTG